ATATTGACTCCATTTCTCATGCCGCATCTATTCCCAAATTTTTTTGAATAAGTTGTGAATCACCCTGTATTATGCCAGTAAGCAGCAATACGCGTTGTAGTAGCAGAATAGGCTAAATATGTGTCAAGCCGTGAGCCGCTGTATGCTCACAATACACAATGCTACTGATTGCCATAAAAACATTTGCCATACAATCGACCAAGCAAAGCGTAAAACTCACTCACACACACACAAACGGCAATGAATGCACAACCAACGTCCCTCAGCAAAAAAACTGAATACGTATCGAATAAATTGATGGATGCGAAGTTTCAAATCAGAAGCAGACACGTATATGTTATTGTATAATGACGCAGACAGTGGGAGTGCTAAATGGCATCTATTAAAAATTTCTTCTATTTTATATATACACCTGTGACCTCGGTAAATGTTGAATGGTGATTTTCGTTTTTGAAATAGATATTTACCGATCGCCGGATTTTATAGTAAGTTTAATACGAAGCGTTTAGTGTAAAAAAATGAACACTACCCCATTTTGTTTCATATTAGGTATTGTGCAAATACTTACACATATATTCTTTAAAAAGTGCAGTTATAAGTAGGCAACGATTGTATCACTTTTTGTTTCAATAAAATTACATAAAAAGAACCCGTCCTAGAGACAACCCTGCACCATTTCCGATCTCTACTAATTACACAGAATTAATTAATGATTTTTTTCTAAATTTATCTTATTCCTGAACTGATTATGCCGTGCATCCCGCTCTTCCGCAGAATGTTAGTTTTGTTTTAGAAAAATGTGTTCTTTCATTAGTAGGTACAATTTGGATGAAGCATCCCATTTTTTTTAATTTTTAGATACTTAATTAATTATCTAAATTAATTAATTAATTCTTTGAGGGCATTTATTAGCAGTCCTAGAATTTGGATATTAGAGAGTATATATATTGTACAATGTCATTTGACGAGAATATATAAAATTTTTAGAATGGTGAATTTGAATTGATTTAATCTTTACAATAACATAAGAGTGAGTGAGTATTAGTGACAAGAAATTTTCCAATGTTGACCTACCACTGAACAGAATGCTTTTATGAAAGCAATCGCATTTTATTAATTAAAATGATAAAGTCTTTCTAGCCAAAATATGTATTTGAACTAACTTCTTAATTTGAAGATAAAGTCATATACAAAGGCTAATAGACAGGTGTGAAAAAAAAAACATATTTATAATCGATATAGCGAAGTAATTTAGAAAGAGAGAAAACATATTTTGCATTTATATTAATAGATAAGATTATTATTAAAATTTTGTCTAACGCCTTCACAAAAGCAAAGTAAGCAGGATAACAAGTCCGGAATACCTACCTACTCATTATTGAAAATATATCTAACAAACTCCAACGGCTTCTACCTCTACTGAAATTACTCATTCACTGAAAGGCAGTTAATTAATTGAACGAGCCCCATTCAATAAATAATGCTTCTAGCAGCACACACGACTAGGCATGAAACGATATTGATTTTGAATTCGCTAAAAGGAAGCTTTAATTTTTAATAACACAGATTTACTTGAAATACAACTTAATATTTGGTATCTGGTGCAAAAAGTTAATGTTTGTGACAGGCAAAATGATAATTAACCAACGATTGTATCTTCAAAATTGTTTTTCTATAAATATTTGTATCTATCTCGTCGAGAAACCCCAAGTATCCAATTACACCAAACTATCTGAAAAATGATGTACAGGGTGAGTCGGGAGAATCGCAGCAAACTCTAGGAATGAATTCTACACGTCAAAATAAGAAATAACTCAAATATTATGATATTTTCATTTGATTTCAAGTTATAGCGTAATTACAAATCTTAAAAATTTGAAATCATGTCATGTTTCAAGTCCAAAAGTAGATATTTGTCAGTATCATTTTATATTGCAATTGTTTAACATTTGATTATACGTTTGTACTATCAAAGTGTTGTTACAAAATGCCAAGAACTTATTCAAATTTGGAGTATGCAAATATAGTGTTTATTTATGTATGGTTTTTGTATTGGGAATGCTAATGCTGCTGTTGAAGAATATCGTCAACAGTTTCCAAAAATATTTTGTTATATACAACGTTTCACTTTAGTTATAACTTTTTATGTAAACTTATAATAGTCATTTTTTATAGGAACCACCCAAATTATTTATACTTAAAATTTGATTGAATTTATAATTTATATAAAAAATTACCATCAAGAAAAAGCATGCACGTGTATTCAGGTTAAAAATTTTAATAAACTCCAAATTTCCTTTATTTATTTGGATATTTTGCCACATGTACAAAAAAATTGACAAAAGATAAAGAGTTATTTTTATGAAAATAGATCTCACACTTCAATAAGTTGTTGACGTTTTGAAACCATTTGTTCCTACTGCGTCTGTTTTCGTTATCAGAATTCGTTTTAAATTGGTGTTGACAGTTCAAATTTTTTTATTTTACCGCGTCTATATCTGGAAATATGATATAGTTTATTCTGTTATTAATTACTCTTTTAGTATTTGCAGCCACAGAATAATCGCTGCGTATTTTAATTATTTTAATGGATTATTTTCCTTCCCAAAATGTTTTCCGACCATCATCGTTTTCCCAAACCTCGTCGCATTTTTTTTTTTTTATTTTACAAGTTCTTGCTTTTTAATGTAATCCTTGTGCTCATCTATTCTAATATTTAGAGATAGCAAGGTTTTTTTCAAGATAATATTTATTGTATCCGCAGGGTATGCTATAAATACATTTTTTTGTAATTTGAACATCATTTTTGGGCTCGTCTTTGACATAAAAGTCCCTAAAGTATTAGTTGTCTGAAAAAACTATTCTGGTGTTACCTATTCTCCTTAGTTCTTCGAATAATACAGGAATGTATGAAATTTTTGTTGCCTTTTGTTCCTTTCCAGAATTGGGTTTACTTTATGACCATGTTTGGAAAAATGATATTATAATTCAGTCAAAATTTGATAGAAGGAAAATTAATACTCTAAAAAGTAAACTAAAAGAGACCACGATCGTATAATGAAACGGTGAATTTGTTGTACATTAGATGGCTTTGCAATAAGAAGGATGCGTACTCAATAAGTACCATCTTATTTAAAAAAAATATGAAATTAAGTTGAACCAAAACTGAAAAAGTTATAAAAGTAAAACAATCTGTATATAATATTTCAAGGTACAGGGTATCTCAAACTCGATAGTTGGGCACAATAACTTGGGACATGTGGTATTAAATGGGATGAAGTATGCTCCATTTTCAATCGAAAGTATTATCTTTGGGATCTGACAGAAACGATTAATGACGCCATCAATTACATTTTTTCCAGAAACATACCCAAATTTTGTCCTGGTAAAAAGCTCTCTTTTTTATAATTTTTTTCTTTCAAATGAGTAATATCTCACGAAGGTGAAATCAAGGGGTATTAGATCTGATGACTTTCCAGGTCACTAAACAGGTACATTAAGACCAATCCATTTTTCTTGGAAAGTGTTATCTAAATATTGCTGCACAATCCTGGCCTTGTGGGGTGGAGCCCCATCGTGCTCAAACCACAGATTTTTCCTTAGCTGCAAAGACACATCCTCCAGAAGTGCAGGAAGTTCTTCTTGTAGGAAATTTAGGTAACTCACGCTGTTCGATGTATGTTCATAAAAATAAGGCCCAATTAAATGCTTACCGATGATGCCGCACTATACATTTACTCCAAAATGACCTTGGCGTTGGACTGGATTTACAATGTGGGGATTTTCAATGGACCAGTGTGTTCGTTGCGCCTCTTTGGCAAACCATTACTGACAAACCGATCTTCGTCCATCCAAAGAACGTGCCGAAAAAGGTTCTGATTAACAGTTTCTACATTTACTACAATTTGAGCTATAAAATTAAGTTCGTTTTCAATGTGACACTCAGATAAATACTCCAAATTGTGAATTTTGTAGTCATGATACCCATTGGTCTTTAAATTTCGTTGAACGGCTGATTTATCCAAATTCAATTCCCGGCTAGCCTGCCGTATAGAATTTCATGGACCTTGTTCGAAATACTGTAACAGTCTTGCTGTATTCACAATGTTTCTTCCCCTGCGGTCAATTATTTGATTTTTCCCAACAGAAAATGCATCTTCATTTCGTCGCAAGGTCGCCTCCATTCTTGTAAAGGTTCTATGATCCGGATTGAGGCGCTCTGGATACCTTTCTCGATATAAATCTGCGGCTCTTCTTGATTTTTTTTATAACGTAAATTAGCAACATTTAAGTAACGACAAGTATTTTGTGACATTTATGCACTTTAAACAACGAACATTCAATTATTTTCCAACGACTACTTGATCCTTCCACCACACCGCTAATGTAATTTTTAGGCGGCATTTCTTTTGAGACTCTTTTGGACGATGTTGCTTATAACTATTAAACAGGAAATATTATAGAAAAATGTCTGTGATAAAGGTTTATTAGAAAAAAGGGAGCTTTTTAACAAGAAAAAAAAATTAAAAAACACAATTGATGACGTCATTAGTCGTTTCTGTCAAATCCCAAAGATAATACTTTGGATTGAAAATGAAGCCTACCTCATCCCATTTAACACCACGTTTTATTTAAATTTTTTATATCCTCACAGTAGGCCTATACTATCGAGTTGAGACACCCTGTAAAATGAAAATTTTTTGGTAATTTATTTATATTTATTATTATTTATATTATTTATGTATTATGTATTTAAAATAAAAAAACGTATACATCATATTTAAGATTTGCAATTCTGAATTCCTGTGACGTAGTATACGAACCAAGTCAAAATTGTCTAAGGAGCAGTAAAAGAAAGTCAATAGTTCCATTATTGAGTCAGAACTGTTTCCTTTCCTATAAAGAGTTATAGAGGGTCGTTTTTTTCTATTCCCCGCTGCACTTTGTTATTTAAATTTATGTATTCAAGGAGAAAAATTGAACATTCCTATATTTTCCAGGAGGTATAGCTGCAGACGATCAATGTTTCGAGCAATTCAATTCGAAAGGTTCGATAAACGGCCACTGTGGCAGCGACACCAGCGGCAGATTTCTAAAATGCTCCCCTGAAAACGTGAAATGCGGGTCCTTACAATGTCAACTGGGAAATCGGTACCCCGTCGTCGCGGGTCTCGATCAGCCCCAGGACCATTCCAGGACAATTATTTCGATTAAAGGACACGAGTACGAATGCAAGTAAGTAATTCTAGATGTAAACATTTTTGTAATTATCAAATTATTATCAGCAAATTTTGCCATAGTGCCTGAACTATCTAATCTACATTCGACATATTTTCTCACTTTTTGTATTTACTTTCGAATATATTTTGCACTATTTGCGCAAATCTACTCAAAAACCTAACAGTTGCAGAGAAACGTATACAGGGTATAACAGCGACACTTCGACAAATTTTCACGATTGATTCCTCTTGCCAAATGTAATAAAAAAAAAACATCAACAGCAACGATTTTTTCCTAAAACGATCTCCAAAGCTCTACAACCCTTCAAAATGAAAGTACAAAAAAAAAACAGATTTTGGTCTCCAGAACCATTAAAAATATACACATGTCATGTCATTAATTTTAACCAAGTATTCGGAAGGCCTTTTAAAAATGGAAAATCGAAAAAAAATTGTACCTTTTAAAAGATAAGCAAAAACTCACATTTTCTAGCCGGGACGCGGCGGCGGACCACAAAGCGGAACAATGAAGAGAAACAGTGTTGCCATATCAGAACCGTATAAATAATAATAAAATATTCAAATCTACCACCGTTAATCGCATCTTCCGTATTATTTTCCCGCATTGGAGATCACGTTATACATATGGAGAGGGAGAGGGGATATGTATAAAGTATGCAGAAAGCAATACAAACCGCGGTTTTTTTCGGATTGTTTCGCGTGTCGGTCGTAATGGCTAATTTTGCAAATTTTGAATATGCGGAAATTGTTTTATATGGAGAATGTTTACGAAATGCCAATGCCTCTGCAGCAGAATATCGAAGGCGTTTCCCTCAGAAACAACATTTTCCGAGTACGCGATACCGGGTCTTTGATACCGTGACGAAACTGGGCTAAAGTAATCAAGAAAAAAAATGAAGTTTCTAAAATAGTCAATACAACCCTTTTTTATGATGACCAATCGAGTTGACTTGGAAGACGTGAATGTATCAATGCCGCCAAAAGTCAAGGCTTTAAATAATGAGTTTTCAGCTGAGGGTTGCTTTCGCTGTACAGCAAGAATAAAACGCTCTCTTAACGGTAATAATAAAGTATTTTATTGGAAACTAAGTTGTATAGAAAAAGACGTGTTGACGGGGTGAGTGTTCGTTGGAGAGTCTCTGTGTGTGGAGTCGGTCGTAGGTATATGAGTACGCATTTGGTCGCCGGCGCCAGTCCGCCGTAGACCCTTCCTGGAACGCTGGTGCGTACGGCGGCGTACTGCTGACATAATGCTTAAAAATAGGTCACTTGCGGTATGTGTACCCACAATGCATTTGAAAATTTTTTTAATCGCGTATTTCTATTCTACTATTTTTTTCCTATCTTTAATTAAAATTAATGACCAGTGTTGGTTGCCTGAGCTCGGCGGTCACGTAGCTTGTAATCATTTATGAAGGCTCTGTACCAGCAATAGTAAATTTCTTAGTTAGTTTCTGTCTGTAGCGCCAAAAGTTTTTCCAAATTTCAACACCCTGTATATAAAAAACTATGCATTTTTACATCCATATTTATTATAATCTTCTTGGCGTAAATTCACTAAAAAAATCAGCCCTTAAAGTTTGGCGACATACCATTAAGATCCTGCATATCCCACATATTCATATTCTACCCTAATTGAAATTTGAATGACCAAAAAATATTTCAATATTCAATTTGCCAAGGTAAATAGCATTTAAGATCAAAATAAATTTAAGAAGGTTTTGTTAGGGATAGAAAAATGAATGCTTCCATTAAAAAAAAGACACAAATTTATGCGCCACAGTTTTTTGCAACACATTCTCACAGAAATGTTTTCTCTCACCAAAGTAAAGTTATAATAGAAAAAAAGGTCACCCTGTATATTACAATGTTATCTCTCACCTATCAATTTTGATATTAATTTACATATTGATTTACAAAATAAAAGTATCTACAACACCGAAACAGTAAACTTTGCACCTATGCTATACCAAGCTCTATAAAATTGGCCTTCAATTTAAGAAGAATTTATTTCATAATCTAGTCAAGACAAGCGACAGCTTGTCACAACCTCATATCAAGAAACACTGTAAGTTCATGTTTATAGTGTTAACTATTGGGCAATTTAGATAAAAATTTACAATGTTACTGACATCCCCTTAGCTAAAAAATGAAAAAAATATTTTGCTGTTATAATGTTTGTAGTAGACACAAAAGATTTTATCTTGAACAAGACTTCTTTTGTTTGCATATACAGGGTGACTGAAATTGAACAATAATTTCGAAGCGATTTTTGTTGGTTTTCTGGGTTTTTTTGGAAATGCGAATTATCGTCGCGTGTTTATTTGGAAAGTTACATGAAAATATATTTATTTTTAATTTATTAATTTCACTCTTGTAAATACAGATCTACCCAATTTTTTGCGATAATGGATTCATTGTCGTCATTTGAGTTTAAAATATTATAGTAAACTGAAATAGGAACGGTTATTTTAAGGAAAATATTTCCAAAACGCTTAATAAATAGCTACAGGATTTTTATATATTATACAGGGTGTTTCAGAAAGTCCTCCTGTAAATAGGGTGGTAGTACAACAAAAATAAGAATTTTTTGTCATATGAACTATGTCTATCTCCTCTTATTTTCGAGATACAGAGAGATAAAATAAAATTTTTTAAATAGAATTTTTACGAAAATTTCCAAACGGTGCTAAATATTTTTATGAAATTTGGTACTCCGGGGTTTTTAAGAACGCCAAATACTCGTCTAATTACTTTTTGGATGTTTTATATAGAGCGCTAGTTATGCTACATTCCTATTACATTTTAAGCTCTAATTTTTTAAGGTTAGGTTTTTTACCATTCGGGCATCAATTTTTAATGTATAATTTTATTTTCTAAAAATAATGTATTCTTGTTAGAACTTCTTAATGTGGACGGTTTTCGAGAAATAAGGCTTTTAATTGAACTCTTACAATATTACGGTGTATAAAATAGCTTAGTGACTTTTCTAAAAATAGGCTTATGTTAAAACTTATTGATGGATGTCTCATAAACAACGCATACATTTTTAGTAATATTTTAAACTCTAATTAACTTTATATCAAAATGTTAGTGACTGTAGTTAGTAATGACTAAAATTTTGATATAAACTTAATTAGAGTTTAAAATATTACTAAGAATGTATGGCGTTGTTTATAGGACATCCATCATTAAGTTTTGACATAAGCCTACTTTGAGAAAAGTCACACCGTAATATTGTAAGAGTTCAATTAAAGGCCTTTTTTCTCGAAAAGCGTTCACATTAGGAAGTTCTAACAAGAGTACATTATTTTTAGAAAATAAAATTGTACATTAGAAATTGGAGCCTGAATGGTAAAAAATTGAACCTTAAAAAAATTAGAACTTAAAATGTAATAGGAATGTAGCATAACTAGCGCCCTCTATGAAATATCCAAAAAATAATTGGACCAGCGTATCTGGCGTCCTTAAAAACCCCGGGGTACCAAATTTCATAAAAGTGTTTGGCACCGTTTGGATATTTTCGTAAAAATTCTATTAAAAAATTTTATTCTGTCGCTCTATAACTCGAAAACAGGAGAAGATAGACAAATAGTTCATATGACAAAAAATTCTTATTTTTTATCGTACTATCACCCCCTGTATTTACGGGAAGTCTTTTTGAAACAACCTGTATAAATTGTCTGTAGTATTTTTGTAATTAAGTTTTCTGAATGAGCATTTAAAAAAATACAAAATGGATATTATTATTCAGAATTGGTAACCTACACTGATCTCCAGAAAAGTAACAATAAATAATGTTATGCAATTAAAAATGACACTGATGATCTTTTTTTTTTCTGTTTGAAACGGCACTAATATAATAACATATGAGATGAGACAACATTCGTTTCCGCTATAACAATATTATCGCTTCAAATTTAAAGCACTTTTAATCACATAAAAAATGTTTCTTGTTTTTCGATAAATTTGATGAAAGCAGTCACTAACAATATTTTTACATCCTCTGTATGCAAAGAAATTTATTCTTGATTGAGATATTATTCCATTGTACTTATGTAAAGAAAAGTATTAATAAATTATTTCTGTAAGGCAACAAACAGATTCTACAAACATCTACATAATAATGCAGTCATTATCGGAGAAAGAAACAAATTTATTCATTATTTTCTTTGCGAACAAATTATGTAAATCGAGGATCAATGGAACAATCTATTGTATTATTACCTCTAAGATCCGTAGTGAAATCTAATAGACATAAATAACAGATCTATTCACAGGACCACAACAGGGAAAAAGGGTAAAACTGAAGAGAAAGATTCAGATCTGCCGCATTTGGGTCTAGTTAGAGACGGGACACCTTGTGGGGAAAACCTTATATGCCTTAATCAAACCTGCACAAGCATTTTTCCACATATTATTCAAGAAAAATGTCCATCAAATGATGCCAACAGTGAATGTTCTGACCATGGGGTGAGTATCCGTAGATCGAAAAAGGGAGAAGAAAGTCTGTTGAATTAGTGAAACGTTACCAGTCTTGAACTGAATACATTTTAGTAATTCAGTAATTTGCATTTTGCGACTAATGTAGAAAATAAAAATAGTAAAGAGAAATTTTTTATAATTGTATCGAACAATTCGAAACATTCAAAATATATGGTTATTTCTTTTATTTGGTGTCATAAGCTAGAAATTACTCATATCGCTGTGAACTTAATTTTGGAACATCATGTATCATATGTCATGTTTTATATCAAAAGCAGTCATATATATTTTTTTGAACTGAACTCCTATGAGTTCTTCAACTTTTTCAATTTAGTGAGGAATTATTCAATATATATGTGACCATAATTTTGGGGCATGGTGTATTTAGAGTGCTTCCTTTGAAACGTACATTTTTTCGCTCCATCCATTGACGAAATATTGTTTCAAATATTGGAAAAAAATTCTCACCAAATTACAGCGCTTAATTTTAATTTCAAATACAATTTGATTTTAAAATTTTCCTACTCACTTAACAAGTTTTTTTTACGTTTTTTTTTTAATTTTCTATATCTCATCTACAATACACGTTATTTTATTTTCCATAGGCGATAATTATAGGGGAATCTTTGAAAGTGAAATATCACATAAAGAAGGCGCATATAGAGAATCTGGAAGCAAAGCGAATTTAGCTAGCTTACATTTTGTAAGCATTTCAGTCACTGCGAGGCAAAATTTTGTACTTATTTACTTTCGCTACAGTTCTGGAAACTATTTGTTAACCCCACTTTTCCTAAAAAAAATATTTTACGGACATTACAAATTTCCATTGGAACGATGTGTTTTTATTTTTTTAACTAATTTTAAATTTTAGTTTGTATTAATTGTAAGCTTTTCGATGAGTTTATTGAGTATTTTGGCTCTTTACACACTCTAAGACTGTATGTAGTAATTACGAGTAGTCTGATAGAACGCAGATATACTCGTTACACTTAATTACAAATATTTGTAACCGACTATAATCGCGATGCCTGGCTACGGCTTAACAAACAAAGTAAACATGAAGCAAAACTGGCAATATAATACATACATAGAAGTAAACAAGGGTAGAATATATCTGCGTACTTAGGAAAAGAACGAAATACAGGGTGGTCCGAATTTTATGCAGGAAACTTCGAGGGCAGATAGATCTCTTTAAAATAATATGTGTTTGCCTGATAAACAATGGTCTGGAACAGCCCCGTTTTATAGATACAGGGTGTTGAAGTTGTTAAAAAAAATAGATTGTTTGTTTATATCCGGAATCAATTAATCGATCTCAATAAAATTTGGTACACATAATCTATGATAGTAGACCTTGCATTTCCTAAAATATGAGCTCTAAGGATACAACCAGTGGTGTACAACTGGGCAGGGGTCATGTCCTTTTTTTATAAAAAACCTACGCCACTGCATTTTTGACAAGTTATTGTAACGGATTTATATTCTAATGCACAAAATACGTAAAAAAGGTAACTTGAATTTTTTCCCTAAGTTTCAACGTTTTCAAGTTATTCATACCAATACACTTGTGCAGACATTTCTAACCATAATATTACAAGAATATTTTTGTTTATGCGTAAAAGTAAGTGAAATTTGTAAGCACATCAACAAAATTATTTACACTCGTTTCCACGCCACCTGTGAGGTAGAGTTCCTTACGCATTATATTTGGCCAGCCAGATTGCCATATCTAAACCCCCTGGACTTCTATGTTTGGGGTTATCTGAAAAGTAAAGTTTATTCTACTCCAAGAGATACAAGACCACAACTACTGCAGCGAATAGAAGGCGGGTGTAATGAATTAAAAGAAAATCACCACATGATATTAGCTTCAATTAATTCAATTAACAGAAGATGTCAAAAATGTATCGATGTGGGTGGTTCGCATTTTGAACAATTGTTGTCATATTTTAGGGAATGTAGGGCCTACTATCATACATTATCTGTACCAAATTGTATTAAGATCGGTTAATAGATTCCGGAGATATAAACAAATAATCAATTTTTTTAACAACTTCAACACCCTGTATCTCTAAAACGGGGCTGTTCCCGACCAATGTTTATAAGGCAAAAAAAAGATCTGTCTGCTCTCAAATTTTCCTGCATAAAATTCGGACTACCCTTTGTATTTTAACATTAGAAACAACATTATCTATACAAAATTAATACATGTTAATGAAATTGAAATTTATAAATAGCAGACATTGAAGAAAGATCAATTTCGCAATTGATACTTATCAAACTAAAATTATTATAAATGACTGATCATTTAGCGCACTCTTGACTGGAGGAATCATGGTACACTAAAGGAAATCTTTGCCAAAAGATTCGACGCTGAGCATACTTTAAAAATTTTCTTTGCACACACTAACTAATTTATTAAAATATTAAAAAATATTTAAAATGGACAGTGGTGGTAGTAAATTTACTCGAAAATCAGACTTTTTTCGAAAAACATAAGAGAGTAGTAATTTGTAAAAAATTGAAAAACGGATCTGAAGTTATCATGGTTGTTACAGTAGAGAAGTGGCGTACTATTTTATTTAGAAAAGTATGCCACCGATACCCTGTATCTCCGCCACTGAAGCATGTAAATTTTAGAAAAAGCCTTCAGGTTTTGGACAATATTTACATAAATACATGTGCCCAAATTTAAATTATTTCACTTACTAGTTTTTAAATTATTTAAAAAAATTAAAAACATATTTTGCAGTTTAACACCCTGTATTTTTTTAACGTCCTAGATAAAAACTTTACAGAAAAGAGTCCTCTTAAAATTCACCAAAGAATACGAGGCTTCATTTTTGGTCTCTATTTGTGAATCTCCCTGTATAATGGTAACAGGATATTAAACATTTCTCACTAAATTTAGATCCCCTAAAAAAGGATCAATAAAAAAGAAGCGACCTAGATTTCCAACTTTGATATCAATCCTTTTTGCAATATTTGGAAAAATACTTGGTTTAGTAGTTACAGCAACACAGGAACACATCATCCTTCATTTTTTCAAAATCGCAAAAAACGGCCCTTGAATACAAAACATACGGAATCTTGCTTTGGGAAGGATTAGCATTAGGTATAACTATAGAAACCGACTGAAAATGCCTGCAGAGCCATATTTATATGTATTTTCAAGCGTTGAAACTAAATCCAGGGCCTCCTTTTTTTTAATAGCGAAACACCGCTCTTAAATATAGAAAATATGGAATCTAGAGGGGGTCCAATTTCATCTACCGTTCATTTCTTCTAGAAGATTAGCATTTTTGACAATACAAATACATCCCAAAGTTTCATTTTCGGTTGGTTTTTTAGTTTCAATATCATTGATTTATGTGTCTAGGTTACTTGTTCCCTACACACAAAGTAATTTCCTTTTTTTCCTTGATTTCGTTTTAAATTTCTAATGATGACATTCAGTTGAGAATCTTAGGTGATAAACCTTCCAACCTTCGATTGAAATTTCGTTTCCTGGTGTATTCTCTTTGAAGCCCATTTTATTGTCTATGCCTGTAACTAGGGCACCCCCATGTTGTGGCGATGAACAACAGATCCATACTAGTATTCGGGTTCGGCTTCAACACGTCAAAATACATATAGATTTGGTCTTGTAGTAACTTCCATTCTCATTTTACAATTGTTTCCATATTTAAGGTTGGGTTTTCGCTGAATTAAAAAAACTGGTGGATGATGGAGCAATGCTGACCCTGGATTTAGATTCAGCACATCAAAATACATATAAAAATATGGTCCCGCAGTCATTTTAAGTTAGTTTCTAAAATTATACCTAATACTGATCTCTCCTAAAGCGAGATTTTCCATACTTACTGCATTTAAGGGCGGCTTTTCATCATTAAAAAAATGGTCGGTACCTAATGGAGCAATTGCAATTCAGGCCTCAAATTCAAAAATTCAGCGCGTAGTCTTTGGAACAGACCACTTTTTTTGTGTGCAATTTTTGTAGTCTCACTTTTATTTGTTGTTTATACAGATGTCTCAACTTAAAATTTGGAGTGATTATTTTTATTTAGGGCATCACGTATTTATAAAACATTAGAAACACATTTATTGCGAGACAGTTGTTAATCGTATCTACAGGGTCGGAAAGTCCCCATGGTTCATCGGCCGTTATGTTAGAGCGATAAAGAAAGTCATAGAAATCCGTGTGATAGAAAAAGATTGCTATAATGAAGGCGTCTAATAGTCACCGCCCATTTCGCCCTTCCACAAATAAGGTCCACTTCTTATTTGTGGAAGATTAATTGTGGGGGATTAAGGGCGAAATGGACGGTGACTATTAGACGCCTTCATTATAGCCATCTTTCTCTATCGCACGGATTTCTATGACTTTCTTTATCGTTCTCACGTAACGGCCGATGAACTATGGGGACTTTCCGACCCTTTGTATATTTGACCAGTTGTTATGTTTTTGTGACCTTGCGTGTACTAACCTGTTTTTTATTTGTTGCTTTCCAGTATTGTACGAATCAAAACAGGTGCTTCTGCGAGATGGGTTGGACAGGAACAGATTGCTCAATCCAGATGGAAATGACTCCACCACCTCCACTGCCAACGCCGCCCCCCGGCATACCTAAAGATAACATAACTCTCTATATGAAAAAGAAAGAAACCCACTACGGTATGTAACGATCCATTTCACACCCTAAGCTAACATCCAGTAAACACCAACATAATTAAAACATGTTGAGTAGAAACAGTTGCAACTAATCATGCCCAAAACCGTGTCGATTTGTGGAACACATACAGACATGACAGCAGCGTTGGCCATTTTCATTTCCCGCAATTCATTTAATGATATTATTCAACCGTCATAAAAATGATGTTATAAAACTGAACCAACTCGATTACCAGTACAAGAATTTAGGAAACGATTATAAGTAGAAAGAAGTTTAGAATTTAATGTAAATTCCTGTTAGTATGGAATTTATTAAGAAAAATTGAAATATAGGTATTTTAAACATCAGCTGTAACTCCTTTGTTTATAATCCGATTAGAAAAGTTGCGTATACAGTGAATATTTTTAATCATTAGTATTCTAGAAAATAAAATCAACTTAGTATTTGTCTTAGTGGCACCAAATCGGATTACAAGAAGCACTGAAGCAAAAAATTGATATTAGCATGACATAGAAGTGCGAATTTGATAAAAAAAAATCAGATAAAAGAAAATAACAGTTAGCCTACAGGATGTACAACTTAGAGAGGATTTTTTTACTGTTAAGTCGAAAGCATTAATAATAAGCATTTTTAATAATCAAAATGCTTAAAATCAATATAGTTATATTAAAATCAATTTGTGTCTATGGATCACATATAGACCACTCGACCGATTGAGCTCGAGTTTATGGATTAATGTTCGTTACATTATTGGAAAGGTTTAGAAAATAATTTGATCAATTTTCAGTAGGCGGCGCTGTGCATTAATGTATTTTTATTTTGAAAAAATAACCACTGCTAGTTAATAATAAAAATAATTGTTAAAACTTAGGTATTGCCATCCCCAGGAATCGTCTCCTGCATAAGAATAGTTGTGGCTGAAAATAGCCGTCTATTTTTTTCATTTTTTATTTTTGTAATAAAAACTAGTTTAATTATTTTAGGTTTTCATCAGTTCTACATTAGTTTTTATTACGTTTTTTTATAATTTCAGCTTCAAGCAAAATTATTACCGAACAGAAGTTTATTTTCTGGATTCTTATTATTCAAATGTTATTCTTTCTATGAAAATACAATTTATCTAGGGTATGTGTGTGTATCACTCATACTACGTATATTTATTTCAATCTTATAACACAATCGTCTTTCGTTAGTTAATTAATTTATATTCGATTTGTTTGTAATGCCAAGCTTACTTATCACTTTTTACACATAGCGTATATAATTAAATCAAATTAATTACATGCAATGGCTAAATTTTAATTGAAAAAAAAAACTAGTATCTAACAAGTTGCTATTATTTACGCGAAAACCATTTTGACTAAAAATCTCATAAAATCACAGCAGAATTATTTTCTATCGGACTGTAAACAATGGAACAACAGCAGATTTTTTAAAAGAAACGATGTTCCTTTTTTTATATGTATAATCTAGGGTCCCCATTATTTTCAATGCGGGATTGTAACAAAACTATGCCTATATCTTCTCTATTTTTATTTTCTCCTGAAATTGTAACAGCTCTCAACTACCAAGTCAAATTGAAACAGACAGTCCATTGGTAGGTAATCAAATTTGGTTCAGTCTTATCTATATCTACGAGTATTATCTATTTGAAAATATGTATGTGTTGCAAGAATATTCAAATTAAACAAACTAACGTGGCTGTGTATGTTTCACTGACTATGAGTAATTCAAATGTGACAATTTTAATAAAAAAAGCAAAATAATACATATTAGAAGATTTCACTTATCGCTTGATCTGAATTTAATTACCTCAAAACCAATTTTCAATCTCGTACAAATGTAGCTTATTTCAAATAATACCTCCCACTTAAGGAATCGATTTAATCCAGTAGTACCTTAGTATAATTTTACTTCCAAAGAAAGTTTTTATTTAAATAAGTTCTTTAAAATACCTCAATGAAATTTGGTATAGCAGGATTTTTGGGATAGCTAAACGTAAGTACCTGAAACAAACATGTGTTTTTGTAAAATGTTTTGTTTGTAGAGATTTTGAAAAGGCGCAGTTGTTTTGAATAAAATGCTTTTTTATTTACTTTAATTATTATATTAAGTTTAAGGAACATTATATTTTTGCACATCGCTAAAATAAATCGTTTCAAAGAAAAATATATTTCAATTTTTTGCCGCAATTGCGAATGGTTGAATATTTGAAGGTATTTCAATCTTTTAACTAAGTATATTAAACGTTTTTACGATTTAGATCAACTTACGTCTATTCCGAAATCAGTATCTACTGAAATTATTTTCCCCTTTCTACTTTTTCGCGGTACTACTTTCAGAGAGTTACTGTGTCTGCTGGAAGTTAAACAGGCCGTGTGTATTAGTATTTTAAAACATTATTTTCTATCGTAAAGAACAGAAAAATACTTTACTTTTAAATGTTTAGGTGTACTTTTACCCTCTAGAAATTCCCTAATCGTAGTTTTAACGAGTTTTTAAAGAAATTGTAAAAGAAACATAGCGATTAGGACTTCTAAAAATGCCTCTAGAAGTACCAAATTTCGCCAATAATGTTAAATGGCGTTTATTTATACTCATAGTTGGAAAAAAGGAATACTGAAACGTGTACCTATTATAAAAAAATAATTAAATACGTAGATCCATTCAATGATATTATGGGTAATTCTACTAAAAACATAAATTAATCGTAATAGGACATTTTCAATTTCCGAAGGACATAAGGACAATAAAATTAAAATTAAATTAACTGAATTTGTGTGAACATGAATTAACTGAAATTTAATTAAACTTTTTTGTGCAGCCTTAAAAATATTTTAAAAAGTGATATAATAATTATCTTTTTGTTTACTTATATAAGGTATCTCAAAATTAGTGTGCAATAATTTACCAACAAGTTCTATTATCAAATAAAAGAGAAAAGTTCTAATGATATAGGCCCGAAATTGCTTTCTAAGGAGTTACACTCCTTTGACGGTAAGCCTCTCAAAAGGTTTTTGTTCAATATATCCAAAACTTTTGCGAATAAATAATTTAACTATGTTTTTTTGCAGAAAAAAGATTGTAATTCTACAAAACATTCAGTTTTCGGGTAAAATTGATCCTAAAAGTTCACCCAACGAAGTTGTAAACCATCAGATCGAATGCTTCATAACTAACTAATCAGAATCAAAAATAAGAAAGTGTTCTAAAAAATACAGATCTTAAAATTATTCATAGGAGAGTGGAAACTTATAAAAAACTGCCCACAAAAAATAGGTTTAATCCCACCTCATCAGTTTTGACCTATTTTCTAACCAAACTTGAGAATAATTGTCAACCCATCTTGTTGAGTATAAAATAGGTGTCTATTTTTTATTTCTTCCTACAAATTTCGGAAATACTGAACAGAAACTCTTCAAATTCGCACATCCTAGGCGCTGTAGCTGCCTGTGTTGGTAATTTATTGTATATTAGTTTTGAAACACCCTGTATAAAGAATAATTTTCGTACTACATAGGAAGTATTATAAAATATTTAAACATGAACGTTCATAAAGCGTATTTTATGGAATAGATGATTCATGTTTAATTAAAACATACCTTTATAAACATTTTTTGGTAGAGTTTGCTGTCTATTCGGCTTTGATGCTTTATATTAAAATTCATAAAGTTCTATTATTGAAATGGAATAGAATTAGTATTTATTTCATAATTTATGAAAAGTTACATTAATATCAATTTCCAAGAAGGTGGAATGGAATTGAAATAAAATATGTGAGAATAATATTAAAACCGTTCTCGAGGCGGAAAGCCGGGAGCCAGACAAATCCGAGTCGCAGAAGCTACAACGATTTATAATTCATAGCAACCAATTGCTTTCCCCTTAGTTGTCACTTTGAATTACTCCTGGCCCACATAATATTTCCCTTAACGAGTACGTACACAGAGCACGAAGATAAACAAATTTAGCACGGTCGGTAATGTTGTTTGCCTGTACGTGTTTACAGGCGCCAACAATAACTCGGACAATCTGAGCACGCTGGCCATGGTGTTCATCCTGGTAGGCGTTGTGAAGGCCGTCTTCATTTCTTTCGCCATGTTGGCCGTCTGCTACAGGTACATCAAAGCGTTCCGTGGTCGTGACTATAGTAACGTGCAGTGATGTATGCGCTGTGTCCTGTACATACGCTTTCGTATGTGATCCTGTGTACACTCTCGTTTGTTTTGACATGCTGTATACTGTACATATTATATTATTTATACACACATATATTGTGGTATTATTTAGTAAGGGCGTAATGGTAAGCTGACTCCTAGGCTTTAGTTTGTACGATCGCCGCGGGCGGCATCACAGTGTTTGCTTATTCACGGCTAAGTATTTCCTCCAACACGACATTTAGAAACCCCGTGGAACGGCACTGATGTTTAGAAGTTACCACTCTTTCCTCTTGTTACTGTACTGTTTTTATAAGACAGTTAAATGCTTATTAATAGACAGTCTAATATTTCACTTTATCTTTCACCTGCAGTAGTTTATTAGCTCCTACATTTATGTTGTTACATACATTTACTTACATTTCTTAGGGCATTCCCTTCTTTTTGTAAAAAAAACAGTACCAAACAGCACACGACCTCACGACACATACAATCGATTGTATCATCTTTGAAGTATTTTTTCAATTATTAAATTGCCATTTGGATTTCGAGTATTGTTAGTGTAATTTCAAATTCAATTGCAGACCGACACAAATAAGATTGCATTTCTGACTCAAGTATAGCGTAGTAGTCTAGGCAGATTCCGAAAAGTTACTGTTGGTGACATTATCTTGATAACTCGGAAATAACTACAGAGGAATACTTTAAATGGCGAGTACAATAACAGGCTAATTTGCTGACAAAGTATCTTATCAGGAAAAAAAAGTTATTAACAATTTAATCGTGAAAATTTTTTAGTAATTTTCTTTAAATAACTCAGCGGGATGACTTTGTACGAAAAAATG